CATACATACATACATACATATATACACGCATACACAGTTTCTTCAATTCACCGAACACTGAATACCTATATCTAAGCATCTAAGCCCTTAGCTATATCACGAGTAAAATGGATAGGCAATTCTCATCATGCTCATTCACAGCAGGTGAGCCGTCTGCTTAGGTAGAATTCCTATTTCATGCCTCATTCGCAGGCTTGACTGTATCTTCTTGGAAGTAACCACTGAAGATTGATTTTACAAAAACTTCAGATTGAATATGAATATCAATAAAACATGGCCACAAGGTATTATATTCCTCTTTGGGGGAACCTAGTAAGTCATTCTATTTCAGATCTGTTAGTAGATTGACACTAAATTTGCTTTAAAAGTTCTTCATTAGTTTTTTATTTGAATAAGCAACAGATTTGTTTGAAGATGTCAGAGAGGATTGTGTTTTTTCCTTTTTTCAAGTCAAACTGTCTCATCATACTGGTTGTTCCTTTCCTAAAACATATTATAGTCAAATCTCATAAACTATACATTTTCTTACCTTGGTAGTGTAAATAAAAGTAATTGAGTATTTGCATATTGAAACTAGACAGTGGGTACTTAATGTGTGCTTATGAATGTTGGAAGTTTATCTCTACAGTATTCGTCAAAATTGGTGCATATGCACGTAGAAACCAAAAGAAAAAGTTGTGAAATAATGCTTAAAGTTTCTTTAATTGTCTTTGTGTGTCTCCTCTGTTGTAGTATGTTTATTACAGTCCTTTCAATTACATCCTTGGACTGTTTTTGCAGCCTCACCTCCTGAAATAGTCATTTGCTAGGACACGATTGAACAGAATTGGGGTTCTTTTTGTATGATTGTTTGTTTTGTGTTTTGATGTTTCTCTCTACTTCTCTGGCTGTTCTGGTGTCCTGAAACTCACTCGGTAGACCAGGCCGGCTTCAGACTCAAAGATCTGCCTGTTGCTGACTCTTGAGTGCTAGGATTAAAGGCATGTGCTACCACTGCCCAGACTGGGTTCTTTTTTATTACAGCTTTGGAGAAAGGCTGGTAAAGACCAATATGAATGACTTTTCATATTTTGTGTCTAGGTGTGGCATGTCCTAAAATTTATACATACACAGTTATTGAATCCTTGCTAATCATCTGACTTTAGAGTGTGTGGAAATTTGCTACACAAATCAATGCATAATTCCTGCTATACATAAAATTATCAATGAGGTTATGAATCTGCAGTACTAGATCAACAAAAGGAAACAATTTGTCAAGAATAACATGGCTTTACATACATGGCTTCTTGAGTATATTTCTAATATTTGTATTGAAATATTTCACTGTTATGCACTAAGTGTTGCTGAGGTGAGGAGCCATATTTAAAACAAAGTAACATAACAATTACTTTTTCCTTATTATATTTCCATTTATAAACTATATTATATTTTCTCTGGAAAATGTCGTTCTTTATTTGTAAAGTAGACATTTTGATTATTAGATTTTGTTGGTAAAATAAACATAAAATATGAAAATAGTAATTGTCTCTCAGTTAATAGCTATTTGATATTCTTCTAAGCTTTATGGAGTATCAGCCATTGAAAATCCTTAAATATATTTGGAATATTTAAAGTTTTGTTTTATTTGTTGTGAGTACATGACAATTTTTTTAGACCATTTTTCTCTTTGATAGTATAGTGGGTAGATATTTTCTTCCAGCTTTGGACAATGTAAATTAGAAGCATGGCTATATCCTTTGTCACTTCTAAATTTTCCCATCTTTCTCTCTTTTATTTGTTGGTTGTCTTTATTTTGTTTTAAAGGTGAACTGATTCACAGAATTAATCAGGAACAGAATGACTACTTCTCTATGTATAGTATGACAGTGTTGATTAATTTCTCATCATAGAACAGCTTCACTGGTGTGTAGAGAGAAATTCTGAGGTGAAAACTAAATATCCAAACCTAAATTTCATATCAAACTTCCACAAAGAACTAGAACTATGATGAGCTCTTTAGCTTTTCGTCTCTCGGTATTTTTATTTACGAAGGCAACAAGTGAGGCTAGGCAGATAATTAATATTTTAAATTCCCTCCAATCCTCTACTTCTTCTTTCCTGTATAATCACATTTTCCTGCATAATTCTTATTAAAATGACAAACTTGATAATACTATGAGGCATCTTGTACCATGAGATGATTATGTATTTAATAAAACTTAATATTCAGAGGAAAGCAATATAATTTAGTCATGCAAACAATCTATGATTAAAAATTGAGAGTCCTCTAAGAACAAGGATATAAGTAGAGATAGATAAGATAGATCACATTTATAGAATTGAGGTAAAATTAGAGTGGAGAAAGCAGAAACAA